TAAAAAATATTGTATTGAAAAAAATCTTCAAACTCAAATAATATGGTAAAATGATCGTCAAAGTTAAAATAAATAAAAAAGATTATGACTGAAACAAATATTTTTGTATTAGTAATTTATTATACAATTATTATTATCAACTTTTAAACACGAAGAGAACGCAATTTCAACGAAAAATCTCGGGGGTAACGGGGAGCGAACACGGGTCCGCTGGGCGCGAGGTACGCACGCTACGCAATCTGCTATACTAACGATATCCATCAAACGAAAAATATAGCAGATATAGCAGATCACATGAAACACCTAACTCTGAACCAAGGAGTTTTAATGACATCTAATAGATGTCACTTTGCTGATAAAGTCGAATTCTTCAATTTCGTAATTTTCAGTAATTTTTATTGTTTTTTAATATCAAAGGATAGAATTTATAGGTTAGGTTTTCTAAATTACACATTTTTTCAATATCAATTGAGAATAAACTTTCTTAATAAAAAAATATATGATATATAAATGGAACAATAAAGAAAATGCCAATAATAGATAATAGAATAATTTAATTTATAAAAAAGAAAAACATACTAAATATCATAAAACTTCAAATACTAATATATTCAGAAAACATGTGAATATAGATTTTATTTATTTATTATATTAAAATAATAAATTATGTTAATTTATATTTACCTGAATTAATTACAATTTTATTATTTAACAAAATAATGAAATAGGGTCAACTGGGGTAAATCCGAACGCTTTTAGTAAGTTTCAACAATAACATAAGTTTTTTCTTTAAAAAAAAAATACTTCCGGTATTCTGGTGCATGAAGTTGTTACTTTACTTCCATAGAACAATTTTATGGGGTAGAAAAAATTTTTGATAAATTACAATCGCAGGAAACTTAGCGTTCGTATTTACCTCGATACTTTGCAACTTTCCTAAAATATGGGGGTAAATACGAACGCCACTGTATTTCAGAAAAATCTTAGGGAAAATAAATTTAAAGTATTGCAATTGTTAAACTTATATAAAAACTAAAAAAAAATACGATAATAAACCTATTATGTAATAATGCATCATATATAAATACAAAAATCAAACAGGTTAAAAATTAAAATGCTGTACACAATTAAAACCTTCAATAACTTTATCAAATCATAACGGATTTTTGCAAAACTTGGTACAGAAAGTATTTTGGAGTGATTGAATGTAAATACAAAAATAAAAGTCAAATTTTTTAAATTCAAAATGGCGTACTTTCCTAAAACTTATTTTTAAAAATGATCAAATTTGCTAACCCTGAAACCCCCCGAGTAACAATTTTTGAGCGAATCCAATGAATTTTTTAATTCTCGTCCGCCATTTTGAATTTTGAAAAACTGACTTCAAATTGGTAATTAGCGACCCCAAAAACCGTAGAATACCAAATTTTATTAAGATCCTGAAAAACTTTTTTCAACAAACCATTTGGCAAAAAAATTGAAACACTCCTTCGAGAGAACAGAGATTAAGTTTCTGCTTATTAATTACTAACGAGGATACGTATAGAAAGAAAAACTTTTTTCTATGTACTTTTATAATGTTAAAATAATAGTGTAATCAAATAAAAACAATTTTGTGTGGCTTTGATGTAAAAAAAATTATTAAAAATACCGTTCGGATTTACCCCAGTTTCCCAATTTTCTTGGGTAAATACGAACGGTCTGATATTATTAATAAAATTTTACAGAAGGCAAAAATCAAATATAGTTTCTGTTCTAGTATTCATAACAAACAATTATAAATAATAAAATGAATTTTTAGCTTCTTTTTCTTCAAATACGAGACAAAATACTGAAAGAGTGTCATCTTTGATTTTCAATCTTTTTTGCAATACTTGTTATCTTTGTTTATGCTGTTGCTAATTAACAAACAAAAAATGGGATAATACTTAGAATCTCTTCAAGAGGATCTGAGGTAAAAATTCTCATATCGAACTTATTTTTAAAAATTTTAATTAAGCTGAAATAATTAGCGTTCGGATTTACCCCCCGTTCGGATTTACCCCGACTGACCCTAATATAATAGTTACATGAACACAGATTTCTAGCACTTTTTTGTCTAGTTATTAGACATGTACTGCAGCGCTGCTGCCACGAAAGAAGACGAAAGTATAATTTCTAGAGACACTAGAGAGTGCCATTCAAGCAACTGGACAAAAGTTGAATCTAGCCAATTTCAAGTTCAACTTGAATATTTTCTAAGACTGTTGGTCAAGTAACTTTACAGTAATTGTCTAGTTTGTCTAGAATCAGCGTCCACGAGAAAAACTGGCCTGTTACTAGAGTATTTCTAGTCCTTCCATGACAAATTTCTACTAGGGCTGCTATAGGCAGCCCGCAATAACACCATTCATTGAAACGAAAGCATATGCTTTCGTTTCCAAGAGCTCGCTTTTTTGAAGTAAACAATTTTTCGTATGTATCAAACTTATACACATTTTCTTCAAATTTACATTTTAGATGCTTCAAATAAAAATTGTCAAAGAATCAATAAATTATTCTGCTGATATAAATAGATTAACTATAGCATCAATTTACACAATGTCATTAATTTTACAGTACCATACTTTTGATTTAAATATTTTCGTTTTTTCGTTTTATGTAATATACTTTTCAATCAATAAAATTGTTATTGAATCAATAACGGGAAATTCAATAGCATTGAACTATTTGATTCAACAGTATTTTTTTCTCAGTGTATTCTTTCCCGTAAAGTTTTACGTATAAAATTTTTAAAATTTCCTGGTAATCCAAGTAACACTAGGTCTTTAAAAGATGATTTTTCTACAACACTTCTATTACATAATCCATCATTTTTTTATCCAATATTTTTTAAGTAACTAGCTTTGAATAGGAAGTCCAGTTTTCCATAGGAGTTTGCTTCTTATGTGACTGTGATGAAGAATCTGAGAATTGTTCTTTGAATTTTCTCTTTTTTTTTTCTTTCGCTATAGCTGCTTCTAATTCTTTAACGCATACATGTTTAACCTATCCAAGTATTTATTTATAAAAATTTTAAAAATATTATCATTATTAGAAAATTAGTTTTTATAATCATGGATTTTGTTTGCCATTTTAAGAATTAATTTACAAATCAATTAACAAGGTATAATTTCGACACGGGGTTGCTAAAAATTATTTTTATAAACTCTTAAATAAAAGTCTATATAAAACTTCCGAATACAAATAAATAAATTAATTAAAATCTTATTTTAAAAAATCTTGTACACTGTTTAAATTATGCAGGTAAATCCCCTATATTGCAACAGTAAACCAAACGTATACGGTGGAACACGAGCACATGAAAAACAGAATGTAAACACTCGGTACAATGCGCAGCATGCGAGCGCAGAGGCCATGTTCTTTTGCTATCACTTTGCGCGCTTTTTTTGAAATACGAAATTATTAAGTTTTTAAAGCAATAAAAAAGTGCAAAGAAAGTAAAGAAATAACTTAAAATTAAAAGTTACTATTAAAATAGTAACTAAGTTACGTTACGAGTTACTTTTAAAAAAAGTAATTAGTTACGTTATAAGTTACAAGTAAAGTAACTTTTTCAGTAACTTAGTTACTAATAACTAGTTACTACCCAACACTGGTAGTTAGTTAATCAGTTTAATCCTGTTTTATACCTTAAAAATTTGGAACCAATTGAATTCTGGTTAAAACGTATAAAGTTGCTAAAAGTTTAATTTATTTTAAACTCTTTACGCCTATGCTTACGCTAGTAAAAATGACTAATAGATGGTTTATATTACTTTTGAATTCGGTTTTTATTATTATTACGTAAAAAGAGCTACAAAATAAGTTATAAGAAAGAGTTGTACATAAAAATGTCTACATATTGTTTAAAATCCTACGTATCATTTATTTTTCAAAATGTCAAGGTTTTGAATTCTATACGGGATTTCAAGTGGATTCTCAAATGAGGTTTCCATAAGGTTTTAAAAGGATTTTAGTTGGATTTCGTTTTCATCAATAGTATCTATAATCCTCTAATAGCTTTCCATTTGGATTAGAAACTAATTTTTTTATCAAATTTTAATAGACACTATTATATGACTTATATGCATCCATTACCTAAATAGCACAACATATGACCCCAATATTACATGATAATTTTTACATCTTACATCTTATTGTATGATACCAAGTAAGTCACCTATTTTTGCAGAGTTGGATTGTTCTCGTACGATATCTAAATTCGATATAATGCCAGTACTGCGCCAGTTTCAAATTTCGCATTATTATTATTATTTATTTGAAATATATATATATATATAAGTCTTTTGTCTTTTATTGTCTTTTTGAGTACAGTATTAAAGAATCTGATATAATTAAAACATACAAATTATAAACAAGCATCTCTAATCCGCATTATAATAATAATAATAATTATTATTATTATTGTTATTATTATATTACTATCTTGAAACGAAAGATTGCGCAACGCTCTATATTAAATGTAAAGATAGAAGACTAAAAAAAGTATATTTGTACATATGAATATTAGTTTCTTTGAGCAATCTTTTCAAAAGCGGAATTTTTAGGATAAACATTTCTACTAAAAAGTAAAGAAACATTTTATTATATATATATATATATCTTATATTATACACTTTATATTGATAGATCCTATAGTCATATTATCCATAAGATATTTCGTCAACAATATTCTTAAAATACTTTGTCCGATTAAAGTACGTAAATTAGGGTGTGTAGCGAATAGCGGGCGGCAAAGACAATATCGTCATGGAATGTATAGAAAAGTTGCACCCGGCACACTGCAGCGTCTGTTGAAAAGGAAGTAGTGGTAATAGGCTGACTTGCAGAGTGCAAGAAAGATGAGTATATTAAGATAGAAAGTGGTTTGAATGAAAGAGAAAGATAACAAGATGGTACGTTTCTGGAGTCGTTGAGATGCCAAAAATAGCGTCCTAATACGATGACGCCCTGGTTGGTCCAATCCTAGATTTCAGTCTGTTTGCAAACTCGGACAGAAAAGAACGTCCTCTTTGCTCAATTATATCTTGATAAAAATTTAGTCTGTTACACGTTGAGTTTTTTTTTTAAAGAAGTGAAAAATATTTCGCTAATTTTTTGACAGTAAAGAAATTGTAATTGAAAAGAACTTTTGAAACATGGCGGACGTAGATAGTGTAGTGTACACGACAACGGAACGAAAAGTTCGTAAAGTGAAGAAAACTTCTAAGCGACGTGAAAGCCACGATCAGAATGCAGAAGTTACTATTACCGAGATGGAAAGTACACCGAATCATCACCGAGCCATAGAAGATGTGTATGTGCTGGCTGACAGATGATTGTTCGCCAATTTACTATTATATTTTTTTCAATAAAATAAGGATTTAAATTTTCTAAAGTAAAAGAACAATGGTTTCATTATTACAATATTTGTGTTCAAAGGAAACAAAAAGTATTATTTTCTAAATATATTCAAAATTAAATTATTTACTTCTAAAAGAACAGATACATATTTATTATTCAAAATCAGAGTTCAAAATAGAAAATTTACTGGATTGTTAAACAAACAAAAAATTTACCACATAGCAAAATTTCTTGTGTCTGAATACTGTGATACACTATTTGCAATATTATCGTGCAATATGCATGGCAATGGATTTTTGCTAAAGTATGAAGAACTGCTGTTTTTCGAATGATAAAAAATGAATTGATAAAATCTGAAGACTAAATAAATTTTAAAACTGAATATTTAATTCCCTGGAGTTGATAATGAAAAAAAGCTTAACTCAAAAGTTATTTGAAACTAAATTTTTGTCTTTTTTATTAATGATTTATGATTTCCACTTTTCAAAGACTAAAATGTGTTATATAAAATAAAGAAACTTATTTTACCCGCACATAATTGAATAATCATTTAAATGATTTGTTAAGACAACCAAATTTTTTTGGGTTCTGTGATGTCCAAATTTTAAATAGAAAATAATTACTTATACTTTTAAAAATTCTATTATTTTTGTTTTAGTATTATTTTTGTAAAACAAAAATTTGTCGAATTCGATTTTCTAATGTATTTTCATGTTTTTCAACCTCAGGAATCCAAAAAAAGAAATTACAACTTAACACTTTTTTTAAAAATTATTATAATACTAAAAAAATTACCATAAATTGGTCACAAAAAATTTCCATGAGAATAAACAAAGTGTTTATGAAATAAGCACAAAAAATTCATACTTTAACTTGGCAGCGGTTTTTTTAAAATTATGAATGTTAAAATAACTCAGGCGCGAATTTTCGGTCGGCCCAAATTTGGTCCAGCTTAATGTGTTAATAGTTTGTCCAACTAGAAAAATTATAATTTATTCCTTATTGTTGCCTGTTTTTCATCCAACTTTAAATATCTATGTACCAAAATTATTTAAAAGTTATAAACATTAAGTTAAATGTATATTTTAACATATTGGTTATTATAAAATATTTTCTACACACATAGGATAAATTATACAGTAGCCGGCCACTTAAGGAAATCTTTTCAATTAACGCTGTGTAAAAAGTGCAATTAATATTTTTTAATTTCTTATACGTGTGATTGTTCCTTATGATTATAGAAAACTACTAAACCAACCGGATTTGCAAATAAAAATTTTTTATTCTTTAAAAAAATTTGCAAAGAAACAAGTAAGAAAAAGTAGTCTGCCACCCAAAACAGATAGAATGACGGATACTTTCGAAAATCGTAGAAAATCTTTTATTTCACTTACAAAATCTTAGGCTTGTTTATGTTGGTATTAAAAATGTTTAGTAACAAACAAATTGTTTCTATCTCTCTTATAGTTTCGTTGTTATTCAAAATTGAAAAGTGACCGACTACTATGTCTGGTTTACCCTATTTAAAATATCTTACAATCGCAGGGATCGAACATCTTAACCTAACGCACCTAAACCTAAGAAGCTAACCATTACGCTACGCTTACAACAAATACAAAAGATAGAAATTCGTTTATATAACTTACAGCTGAGGAAAAGAAAAATTTATGAGGTCGACAATATGATTGAAGAAATAACAATTTATAATGTTGTTAATAATAATGATGATATTCATAACACTGAAAAAGTATGATTTTTACCTAGATAACTGTATAAAAATTATGTACGCAATAAATTTTATTCTAGTTGAGGGATCCACCGTCTATGCGTTTTAGCATTAGTCAAATTATCCGCAGCAAAAATTATACTAGGTTTTTTCTGTGAAATTAATAAATAGATCATTTTCTTATTAAAAAGATTTATTTTATTTATTTCTATGATTTAAGTTAAAAATTTTTCTAATGTATTTGATAATTCATTAAGGCTCACAAAGTTGGCTTATAAGATCGGCCCAACTTTAGACATTTATACATATGTAGTGGTAAAAGTTGGTCATCATCTTAACCCTGTTTATTTCTATCTACTAGTAATCTAAATTTATTATCTCTTCAGAACTCGTTCTACTGAAAAATCTCTTACCCCTATACCTCAAATTATTTTACCTCACCTTATTTGCCGCACTTACAATATAATTCTTTTACAACATCCACTTTTCATCACCAACGAAAAAACCTTTAAAATTTTAAATAGTTAAACTTATTTTACAATTCATAGAAGTATAGAAGATAAAATTTTTTGAAGAAAGTGACAAATGTTTAATTGTATATATTTTGCAAAATAATTAACATTTTTAAAAACATTTTAGCACACTGATTTATGATTCTAAACACTTTCAAACGTTAAAATTATGAACATAATTTATTCTCTACCAGTAAAATTTACCGTCGATATTTCTTTCAGCACTGTAAAACGAAAGGTATTATTTATTATTTTTATTAAAAAACAATAATATAATATATAATATTAAAATGAAATAATAATAATCGATATTAATTTTAATCTGATGTCGGAGGAATTCATCTGAGTATTTTTCATCGAGTCGGAAGGACGTTGGACATTCTATAATTAATAATACATTATTTGAAAGTTTTAATAGTAATATGCGTTTTCTTTATTAAAAAATTTTTTTCGTAAAGTTTAAAATTAATTTACTTGAAAATAAAGAATTTATAGGTAGAGAAAATATAGTTTAAAGTCATTTTTCATAGAAACTACATAACATTACCCTCCATTTAAAAATAAAAAATAAGCACACATGAGAATTTATTTTTTTTCACCAAAATTTTGTTTTTTAGAATATTATTTAAAATAATCTTTGATTTAATATGAGGGAAATATGTAAAGAATAAATGTACCATTTTTTCGATCAGCTGTTACAGCGGTTTTTATGTAATCGTCGTCACTGATTTTAAAAATATAGTTTCGAGAAAAATGCCTTTAAAGTTGAAGGACACCTTGCTTACTGTTGCGCTCGGAACAAAAAAAATTTAAAGCTCTGTATTTTCGTGTTCAGTGTCAGAATTGACTTAAAACTTCCAAGAAATGCTCTTAAAGTGTCCTACTTTAAGTACTGTGAACTTGTACCAAATGTAAATCAAAAGCCTTGCAAATTATCTTGTTTATTTTATTATCTTTATTATTTTGTTACTACTGTGAGTATTTTGCTACAAAAAAGCAAAAATAAATCCTCTATGTCTTTTTAGCGGAAATCAATTTATTTTAGTTTCTTTTTTTTAGTAAAAAATGTTAATATTAAAGATTAAAATCATTTAAAAAATAATAATATCAGCTTGTGTTAATTCTCAAGGAAATGGAGGTAAGTTGACCATACGTGTTAGTATAGGCCTTTCGAATTTTCGTCGAGTTATATAATAAGTTCCAGATAGCACGACTTTATATGGTTACGAATGTATTTTGACGTGCGACGATATTTTATATGACACAATTCTTACTAAAATTATCACTGAAATTTAATTTAAAGAAAATAGAGATATTTGTGTGTTTCGGGAAAAAGAACTCCTAAAATTTTCTCTTTTCAGGTAAGGTTTTTCATTTTTTTTTTAAATCAAATTTTCCACGTGATTTTGTCAGATTATAACCTAATATTTATTGTTTTAATAACTCAAAAATATCTCAAAGTAAGATGTCCTCCTTGGTGTGTGTAAGTTAGTAAACGTATCTTTTCATTACTGTCATAATTCTAGCTAACTTAACATTACGACCAGCCTATTAAAAGCTAACTAACAGTTGCAAACATTTTGAAATTGCTTATACTTGTTCCAAAATTTAGAGAATTTAAAATACTATTTTTGTTTATTATTGTACTTTACCTGCTTTTTTATTACTATATTCATAACTTTCCCTCTTACGCATTGTCTGAAAAGCAATGTTAAATCCAAAAAATATTATTAGACATTATTTATAAAAAACAAAATATTGGTAAGTCAAAATACATTTTTAACCATGACGTCGCGATATCTGGCACTCACATATAACGAAAAGTCGAGTGGCCTACTTACACGTATGGCCAACTTACTCGTACTTCTCAAAGATGACTCAAGCTGAAGTTACCATTTATATGATCTTGTTTTCTAACGTAATCATGATTTTCTAATATAAAACATAAGAAGTTAAATACCTATGCTCGAAACAATTGTTTTTGTTTTATATATATATAATATGGAATTTAAATCCTGCCAGGCGGTCAGACAGTGCACTGAAAATTGACTTGAAAATAAAATATGTTTTTCTACATGAAAAATAAGTAAACACATATTTTTCTAAATGTTGATTGAATGTTTTTTAAATTTTTAAAGAAATTTTCGAGATTTAAGAAATCAGCTCTTTATACAATTTTTATTAAAAATTTTCTCAATTTCCAACATTTTTATCTGTTTCTTGTACCACTTTCTTCTGCTTTCTAAACACTTAAAAAATATACAAGGAAAAATGAAGAATTTCGATTTTTTTTCTACCAATTTTCAAGTGATATCAAAAAGATCAAGCTTGCAAAAAGATTACAATTGACTTGCTTAGAGTGACAAAAAGAAATAATTAATTTTTAACTTCAATTTATTTTTTTTTCTATTTTAATTATTAATTTTCATGTTAACTATTAATATTACTTGGAAAAATCTTTGGGAATGTCAGGAATCGAACCAGGATTCGAGGCACGAAAGTTGAGAACACTACCCAATGGACACCAGGATGTCTAAAAGTCATCTTTTTTTCTCTGTGTATATCCTGGGCAAATAATGATAATGTCTCAGAGACATCATAAAGACAACTAAGGACAACTAAAAGACATTTTTTCGATGCAATAAAATTTCTATAAATTAATCACATATTTTTAATAATTTATTTTAATTTAAAAAATCTGACTTCAGATTCGTA